TATATAAGCTGATTTCCCTAAAAGGCACAAGCCTGCCCTTGTTTATGTGGAGGCAGACACGTGAACAATTAATTTCAATAGGGTATAATAAGTGCTAAGATAATATTACACAAAGAGTGCTTTGGGAGCAGAAAAGAGGATTTTTCCCAAGGTGTGTCTATCAGCTATCTATTGCTATTAAACAAGCTGTCCCCAAACATACTGACTGAGAGGAATATCAATCATATATTTTGCTCACAATCTGCAAGTTTAGCAGAGTTTACTTGATGGGGACAGCTTGTTTGTGTCACATGGTATGAGCTGGGGCTGCTCAACTTGGGGATAGAGGACCTACTTGCAAGACAGCCCACTCCCATGGCTGGGAAGGAGGTGGTGGCTCAGGGTATGGGTTGGGACCTTTTACTCTCCATGGACTGTTTGAGTTTCTTCATGACATGCTGGCTGGCTCCTGAGAGTGAAAAACCCCAAAACAACCAGGTGGAAGCTGTCTCATTTTTGTTATCTAGCTTTACAAGTCACAGATCGTCACTGCTGCTACTGTAACTGGCCCACTCATATTCAAGGGGAAGAAACATGGACCCCAGCTCTTGATGAAAAGAGCATCAGAGTTTCTTTATAATAAGAGATTATAGAATGGGAGAGATTTTCTGTCATTTTTTAGCATGCCACAGACGGCCCTCTGGACACAATAATTTATATCATCTCATCTGCAAATTACACACATTTTTCCCTTCAGGATCCCCACACATCAGCCCGTGACAGCCTGGGCTCCAAGTCTAGGTTCACGTGTGCATGAGTGTCCGTGGGTCCTGGATTACCTTTGCCCTTGGCCATGATGACCTGTGAACTAAAGAGACAACAGTTTATCAGTCTCCTCTCCTACGCACCCAACATACAATAGTGGGACGAGCGTAGGAAAACCACAATTGACATTTCTGTTCAGACACCGGGAGAACAGGGCACACGGCAGTCACAGCCTGAGGCAATTATGAGACTAATCAGGCCCAGGTCCTTGATTAAGGGTCAGTCCTATGGCATAGGGATTGTTCTCTGGGGCTCCTGGTTCCAGCCTCTCAGACATTCTTCCTTTTCTATAAAAAGTAACCCATATTTACAGCTGAGTCTCTTTCTCACCTGTTTCCTGCCTGTAGAATTTGGGAAGTCAAACATTGTGTACTATCTGTTCCTTCCAGGTCAAGCTGATATAATTTCTTTTAAAACTTTGTAGACTTTTTGTGTTCCCATTTCTATTACACTCTAGTAGACAAAAGCTTGTACTCCAGATACGCTCTTCTGAATATTGGGCGACTTCTGTGAGACAATGTTCTTGAGATTCTTAGAAATCCTGTTGTTGAACAGGGAGGGTCTATGAGGCATGCCCTTAAAAATCCTTAGCCCTGGCTGGGCGTGGCTCAGCGGTTGAGCGTCGACCTGGGATCCAGGCGATGGGGCTCGATCCCCAGTCAGGAGTGTGCAGGGGGCAGCCGATCAATGGCTCTCTCATAATTGATGTTTCTATCTCTCTCTCCCTCTCCCTTCCTCTCTCTGAAATCAAAAAAGATATATTTTTTTAAAAATTAAAAAAAAAAAAAAATCCTTAAAGGGTCTTTCTGTTTGGCTTCATGTTTCTATGTGGCTCCACCTGGGTGAGACCTTGTCGTCCCACCCAGAGTTGATCATTGGCTTTCCTAATTTGAGATCTTTTTTTCCCCATTTGTAGCAGCTGGAAATAAGAAACCAGTTTTGTTTTTATCCCCAGAAATGCCTGGCTCCTTTGAATTTAGCAGGCGACTCTTCAGTTCTTTCTACATTTTATCATAGGCAGCCAGAAGCTAAGTTATTCTTTAAATATTCTGCTAGAAATCTCCTTAGCTAGATTATAGAGTTCATTTGGTTCAGTTTCTATTTTCCATGTTACCGCAGATGTCAATGTTGCCAAACTTTATGCTACAACATGGCAAATGAATTCTTGCTTTGAGCCTCCAATTACATTTGCTGTCCTTTAAGCCTTTACCAACTGCTTTCTTATAGCTCTTTGGGCTTCCTCGAATCCTCTCCTAAAGGCTATTTAGCTTTTCATAATCACTCACTTGGAGGCCCTTCCAGCTTGTGCGTGCTGCCCAGTCACCAAGTTAATGCCACTTGTTTTAGATTTTTCTTATGGCAGCATACAATTTCCAAGAATCAAAATCTGTTCTTCTTCTTATTATTTTTAATAATATGTTTATTGATTTTAGAGAAAGAGGAAGGGAGACAGAGAGATAGAAACATTGATGAGAGAGAAACATTGATCAGCTGCCTCCTGTAGGCTCCCCACTGGGGATGGAGCCTGCTACCCGGGCATGTGACCTACCAGGAATTGAACCGGTGACCTCTTGGTGCATAGACTGATGCTCAACCACTGAGCCACACCAGTCGGGCTGTTCTTGTTACTGATTGCTTCATACCCAACCACCTCAACACTTAGTAAGTTGAAACAACAGTCATTTATTTTGCTTATAAATCTGCAATTTGGAGAGGGCTTGGTGGGGGTAGCTTCTTTCTGCCCCAAGTGATATCAACTGTGGCAACTCCACTAGGAGATGGAGGATCTGTTCTCAAGGTCAGTCTTTATTCATATGGCTGACATGGCCTGCTTGGACTTCCTCGTGGTATGTGATGGGGTACTAAGAGCAAGCACCCTTAGGGAATGAGGCAGAGCTCTATTGCATTAAATGACTTAGCCTCAGAAGGCAACATCACTTCTGTTGCAGTCAAGAGGCTGCCTTTATTTAAGTGGAGGGAATTTAAT